CTAGCGCTTCCTATAGTAGCAACCTCGAGCTGTGTCCCCGATTTTGATGGAGAGTTGCCGGGCCCTGGCCAGCGGCGTCTGCGCCCCCAGCAGCGCCGACGGCGCCTGCGCCTGCGTGCCCATGTCACGCAGCTGCGGCGCAGCAGCAGGAGGAGGAGGGGGCCAGCGCGTCACCGGCGACGGCGCCAGGCTGCCCAGGTTCTCCTGAACCAGAACCACAAGAGCGCTCTTAGGCCTGGTAACACGAGCGTTGCGATGACGCGCGCTCATTAACTCTCAGTCAGCGACGGCGGAACGGGGGGCCCCTGCACAGAAGCGTTGCCTTGACGCGCGGTAAGTAATGGGCGTCGTAGATTAACAACGCATCTTGTGCAGAATAGCCAACGCGCTCGTGTGCCGTTTTGCATAAGATACAGTGTTATTTAACGACGCGCGTTACTTCATGCAACGGGCGTGTGCTGGGGCCCTTAGGTTCAGTCACTGACTTGAAGTTATGGTAAGTAATCACACAAATGCTGCGAGTGTTTCTTGTCTATCCACCAATCTTGTCCCTCGTTTGCACTCCTGTCTCACTTGCGAGAAATCCTTCCCCTCAATTACGTACGCATTTTCTACGAATAGCATCCTTTTTATTATGTACTCTTAATTACAATTTTGTGAGTAGTTAGGCAGAATGGTAAGTAGGTGACCTGAAGTTCTCCACTAATAAAGACATGAGTTTATTTATTTAAATATGTATGGTCCTAGGGCGACGTCATCAGAAATATCGTCTTCTTACCAGAAACACTGATCACACGTATTCTTTATGTGTGCATTTTGAGAAGCTCCATTCAGTGTTCTCCTTCTATTTTTAATCTTTCAGATTATTAAAATTATGTTGTAGAAAGTATGATAGAGCGTTCAGTAATTTTTCCAACAATTGTCAAAAGAAAATAAACCTTTTCTATTCCAAAAGTTTGGTCTCAAAAAGCATTTTGAAAAAATACAAAATTATACGAAAGGTAATTTTTTACTGCCATTGCTATGAACAAATATATAATAGAAAATTGTAATTATATTAAATAATATTGAATTGTCATCCAGAATAAAATTTTGTCGGATCTTTAATTGCTAACCGTAATTAAATCAAAAGTAATCAATGTTTTTATATATTTAATTTACGAAAGGAAAGATTCTTCCAATTGAGAATTCACAGATATTTGATTTCAAATATTCGGTTGTAAAGTATTAAGTATTCCTAATCTCAAATATAATATGAATTTTCTCTTGATTAAAAATATGGTTGGTGACATGTTTTAGAAAGAAATTTCACAGTCGTTAGTGGAAATTTCATAACGTAATCATTTCAAAGCATTCCTAAATAACTGTTCCTTTCAAAAGTAGTCCTTTATTACCAAAATTTTTACTTCAAAGAAGAAATTTTGCAAATAATAAATTTAACAGAAATAATTCCTAAGGGACCTCCTGCAAATTATCGAACTGATTCTTATGTAATTTAATCAAGCATAAAAAAGCAAATAAGTATGAAAACTCCGAGAACCGATCTGCTGACATTCAAGCGTTTGAAGAACCAGGCATCGATCTACTTCCCTCATTTCGTGGTGAGAAATTCTTTCTTAGGCAGATGGCAGTTATATCTGCAGAGACCGAGTCCAGCTGTTGTCCCAGTAAAACAATCGTATTTATCTGTAATTCAGATTCGCACATACCTGAAACTTACTTCACGTACTTTCAGCCCAATTTAAACCTTCTTCACGTATTCCTTCCACAGCGACACCCAAAAATATTTAGACAGTTGCACTTGCTGACGAATGTCTGATTCTCAGATTTCATTTTTCCGAGAGGAAATTTCAAAACATTCCACAAGCGTGTTGTGAATTATTGGAACAGTCTTCAACTGTTCCTTCTGTAGCACTCCACCCCCACCCCCTGCGAGCAGAGCTGTCTGCGCGGCGCGTGAGAGGCGGTGGGTGGAAGACTCAGCGCCGTGGTCGTACGCCATTCTCGAGTGCGTTGGGGGCCACCTGTCCTCATGAAACCAATATTAGAGTGAGTTTGACATACTCTAACGCATTCTATATATTAACCCACTTTTAAGTCTCTGCACACGCGCATATGTGAAGGGTAACGCTAAAGTTATTGCTATTCTTCCGGAATTAGCCAGCGGAATCACGTGCCGTACGTCGCTCATTGAACTAGCCACGTGAACACACTCTGTGGCATTTGTTTTCAATTGTGGCAACAGAGTGTGGTGCCAAGTATGTATTCCCACGACGCAACATCACTACTCTGGTGGTACCCATACACACATTTAGTGACACTACTCTGTATTACATAATTATCTGCATGTATAATAGTAATTATGTTTATTTCACAATACATTAATTATGTAACAATGCAATTATGTAGTTGGACTGACCGCCGTGGGCGCGCGCGAGTAGCTGTGCAGGCTGACGTAGAGCGGCGCCTGCGACGGGGAGTCCAGCGCCAGGGCCCGCCCGCCGCCGCCCGCGCCCGAGGGGTCCAGCGCCTTCAGCAGCGCCCGCGGCAGGTCCATCTCTGCAACGCACGCCCACGCCCCCGCCCTTCAATCGACAATCAACAGCCCACGTGCTGCTTGCTTTATTATTTGATTATTACTATGTAGAGCAAACACATCATGATGATAAGCTAGTAATAATTACATATATTTTTTTTGTTATTTAAGATCGCATCAACTTCTAGGTCATTAGCGACCACTGTTGCTTGTAATGGTATGGTAACTGTGAGGATGTCACGATATGATGGTGATAGGGGGTGTAACGACGAACACAATACAACCACGCCCGAGGCGAGACTCAAATCCGCAATCCTTCGGTCCGAGAACGCTACGACACTACTGACCCAACGATCTCGGGCATCTGACCGGCTCGTGGATTATTATTATTTCTAATTCAATAAAATGTTCTGATGTATTTAAATGGTTTTGTTGTATCCGATATAATAAAGAAAACTGCCAAAATCAATATAATACCATTCATTAAACGGACGCAGCTATTAAATATGTCAAAATGTTAAGAAGGCAATCGGATAAGACGAAACATTTCCAGTCCCGCCTCGGACATGGTTGTATTTGTGTATGCTCGTATGTGTGTGCCATCCACTTATCCTTCAGCACCATCATCATCATCATCTGATCGTCCATACCCCCAGGGCTAACAACATTGAGGGATAAAAATCGGGATTCAGCTAAAATGCTGATCCTCACAGAAAGGTACTTGCACCGGCTGAAGCGAAAAAAAGCAGCAGAAAGGAAACAGCTTATAAAGGGGATAGAATAAGAAAAATATTTTAATGATTTCGCTTTTTCAATATTAATTATTGACTCCTTTGGTATTTTTTAACTTTAAGTATGACAATATTTTTATTTCTGCGAATTGATCTACAATCATGTCCACGGAATGCGTATGCCGAGAACATTGTAAAATTGTTATGGCGACAAATGTTCTGTATTTCATTATATTCTGAATATTACCTCTCGCCATTTCACAAGCAAGAGCTAAATAAAACATGGAAAATTGTTACGTTTTCTTTAAAGAAAATGAATTTTATGAACAATGAATGAATGAAATTTCAGTAACAATTAATGGAAAAATTGGACACAATGCCCGATAAATGATAAAAATAATATTTTTTTACGATATTTCTCTTGTAAATAAAAAGTGGTATGCCAGAGGGATTAAATCACGTAAAGATAGGAAAATTAGAAACTTTCGTGTTCTGGAAACAAGATATGTAAAACTTTGGAGCAGAACTAGATATAGTTGAAATTCTATCTTACAGTGGGCTTGAATATCAAAGATACAATAAACCAAAAGTCATGCAATGTATGCAAGGGACACTTGCAATAATGCAAAATAATAGCGAAAAGCATGGATCTCGGTAAAAATATAAATTAAAAAATGAGTTTCTTGGTCTTACAGCACAAGCAAAAATTCCGCAAACGAAGAGAAATATATCTTCGCAAAGCGTGAAGACCTATCACTAACACGCTTTGCATTTCTACTGCGGCAAATAAACCGTCTTGACCTTTTCCTGAAAGTCATATTCTACCATTTCATTTCTGTTTTAAATTGCTTTGCAAATACATGGCTGGTTTGCTGAAAATCAAAGTGACCGCTGAATCAAAATGACATTTTCACAAACCTCGTACGCCTGAAACGTAATTTTCAGATTAAGAACGTTTTTCTCTCATCTTCAAAGGCTTCTTATTATTCTTAAACTTTCTTATTATTCTTATCTTCAAAGTATTCTTAAACTTTTTCACAAACTCTCTGGCTTTAAAAAGGAGTAGGGACTGAATTTTTTCACATTTAATTCTATATCAGTTATTCTATTTCTATTTGGTTGTATTATTTCGTCCTATTCAAGGTTTTTGATATTTAATGTATTTGTGCAGAAATGACGATGTCTGTAAATCATGTGTGGTGATTTTCTCAAACATTTTGATATTCTGTATTATAATGTAATTGTTCTAATGTAAAATAACTATTTATAAAAGCATCTACAGGTGATTGCTTCTGAAAATAACATTTGTTATTTTATTTTTTCTAAAATAAATTATCTGCTATAGTTTTGATATTACACGGAGTAAACGAGAGATAAATATCGAAAAACAAATATTAATGTACCAAAACAAAAGCAAAGATATATAAACAAATATGTTGTTATTATAAACATATATATATGTTAATAATAACTACAATTAAGAAAACAATTTAATATAATTCATCTTTCGTATTATTAGTTTAAAAAAATATTGAGGTGTCTACAACAGAAAAAGAATTCGGATGATTTTCCCTTGCCTCAAACTCAATTGAAAATTGTGAAATTTTGAAACTTAGGGGAGTATGAGGGCAGGCAAACATTAGTGTTATAAATGACATCTGGTAAAAACGATACAAAATGAAGTTTTTTAACTTGTAAAGTATAAAAAAGAATTTAAATTGTAATACGAAATATTGTCATGTCTGCAATATATTATGTAGTTTACAACTAAGTTCACAGAGAGGCCTTCTGGTGAAGTCTCACGAATTTCAATGCCGACTACCTGGCTCCACTTGAAGCCAAGAACTGCTGCCAGGATGAGATTGCTAGAGATTGGCTGCTGTTTGATGTGGAAGTAGCCATTTCACACAACGTGTCACGTAACACGCACTACTCTTTCTGCACCATCCTCACCCGTTCCCTTCCTTAGGAACGAGCTATGGGCTGATCCATCGTCCTTATAGGGGTCATTCCCTAGGCTGAGAAAATTTCCGACAATATCCAGGATGAGGCTGAGAAGTTGAAATTGGGCCGAGACACAAAGTAAAAGCGCCGAGATAAAATCGTGACATTACAATTACAATCCCAATTTACTAAAATGTTGTACGTCAATTGATTATTGAGCCAGATAAATATTTTCAAAAACACAGTTAATAGAGTTGTTTTGCTTCTAGGAAAGAAGTCGGTCCGTTCTCACAGAAAATTCTTGAATGAGGATCTATTGTGCTGTTAGTATATCTTTATTTTAATTTCAGACCTCAATTATTTTCTCTTTTGAGATGGAAACATATTAAAGGAGAGAATTTAGTTTGCAGTGATAAAATATCGTTCAATAATTCAAAGTACAAATATTCTTAACATTTGAGCATTCAGATTAGCTGTCCTTTACAAGCGCATACTTTCCCATGGAACTCCTCTAAGTAGTAGAACTTAGATGTCTTATAGATTTAGTTCTTGCAATAACAGGTGAGTCAATGTGGAGGAATGCAATGATGTATGGAATATAATCTGGTTTGAAGAAAAGCAGTGTACAAAAGACGATGAATGAAATGTGAATGAATTACTTATTTCAGGCCTTCAGTCAAGAATGGGACTACGAATTGCAAGCGTTCACATTTTTCTGTCAGAAGTATCTATTGAAAGTACGCGAGAAGTCAGGTGCATATTCTGTTACAATTTAATGAACAAAATAATTGCAATTAATTTAACTGTAATGTATTGCTTAGAGTCACTTTTCTATTTCTCGTACATTCTGTCTTCCTCACTATACTATATATACCGTTGGCGAAGGGCACGACGTCGGGGTTGTCCTGCGGGTCATCCGCGAGCAGCGTGGTGGGGCCCGGGGCGAGCAGCGTGCCCGCGTCAAATGCGGCCGCCGCGCTCCACCGCCTGCAGCTCGGCGGCAAGCCGCGACGCGCGCGACACCTTGCAGTGCTTGGGGCTGGGCTTGTGAGCCTGCTGCGCGTGCGGCGACGCGTGCCGATGCCGGCGTCTCGTTCCGCCGGCAGCAGCGGCAGCACGGCGCGACGCGTAGCACCGTCCGTCCGCCGGCACCCGCACCAGCGCGCGACCGCCGCCAGGCACGCCGCCCCCGCGCCCGCCAGCGCCCACAGCAGCGGCGCGCCCGGCAGCAGCGCGCCCGCCACGCCCCCGTCGCCGCTCGGCGCTGCCCACCAACACACACACACACATACATTCCTTCGAGCCGCTAGTTTGGGCTCACTTTTCAGACGTGTTCGAACTGTGCGTTCTGTTAAGATTAGCTCAGAGGAGTAGGGCTATCTCTGCAGCGTATCTCGCAGAGAGATCCTAGGGTAAAAGTCCCGAAGATGGAGGAATTTTGACATTTGCAGGACATCTATCCGATCACCCTAAGAAAAATCCTGATGTAAACAAATGCACGTGTGGTATTGTCGTGAGGTTTCGTTGCCATTTACAATGAAATAATTATATGAGTCGTCATTGCCAACAATGCCAATTGTGTTGTTTCTTTTGTGGGGGATTGATGGATTTTTTGGCGTCTGGATGATGGCTAAGCCATCGAAAGCTGCTATTGTAATGAACAATATTGTTGGCAATGACGACTTATATAATTACTTCAAATGCACGTGTGTTAGGGTGATTTTTATTGGTTTGAAATGTTGGTTCTGCTGTTGCCGGGTTCCTGATGCTAAAGTAAATAGTTTTCCGTATAAGAACTAATTTATCTGCCATCGTTCGTTAACTGAACCTTGCGCCAAAACTATTGCAACGGATTGGAGAAAGGAGATCTTTGCGAGCAGAATGCGTGTTGTTGGGAGGTAAGATTACGAGCCTTTGATTGGTCAACCCACAAACGTGCTGATCGACACGGGTCGTGCGCGTGGGACGCGGGAACCCTGCTATTCAGTTTGTTTGAGAGTGTAGCCTTCAATAATTAAACAGAAGTATGGAAAGTTTCTTCGGAGCAACGAAAAGCGCATCGATCTGGACGTTTTCAATTCGTAATTGCATGAGAATCCGTCGTGACCGGTGAATCCGCGTCCAGCGTTTTGAAACTCAGCAAAGAGTTCATTGACAAGGGACAACTACAAACGCCAGAGAAGAAAAGAAAGGGGAAGAAACGATGACTTTGTAAAGAGAGCTGTTCGATCAAAATTGCATTCCTAGCAACAAAAGGGCAAAACGAAACTCCAACTTTTGCGAAATTGTTGCAGCTTGTAAATTGTGATCATGAACTTCCGAATTTTAGAGCAACCAATTTATACAAATAATTGATAACATCCGGTTATTGACAACCGCTTCTTGAAGCTGACTGATCGTAAGTACAGTGCAGTTGCATGAACATGACATTTGCATGACAGCTCTTATTCAATTTGAATTGGCGGGGTATGCTGCTCGCGTAATCGAAATTAGTGAGCTAGGGCTTGTCCGATCAGAAGCGTAGTGCGGCGCAAAGGTTTCTTCAGTTTGTTAAATCAGGTTTTTTCTTAGGGGGAAATGATAGCAGCAGCTATTCTAGCCACCGGCTGATTTGATTGGCAGCTTACCGTAGTTCCTTCCATCAATACCAGCGAATTTCAGAACAGTACCTTTACAAACGGGCCACGGACCGCGCACAATTTCGCTTCCTCTGTCCGTTTCCTTTACACACGTTCTGCCTGCCGGTTATATATGTCGGGAGACCAGTTAAGAGTTTAGAGCTTGTCCCGGATGCGATGGCGTCAAAGGCAGAATTCACAGCCAACAGGCGTTTCGGTCGGCGACGGATCTCACCACACACAGGGGGAAGGAATATCACCAACACCAGGGGTAAATACTCACTCCACTAACGGGAATAATAACCATGCAAGTTGACGTGCACGGAATTATCAATCATATCGATCTATCAGTTTGATATTGAGTGTGTTGAGGGGCACTAATCTACCAGAAAACAGTATTAGAGAGTTTTTGAAGTACTTAAGCGAGTACTCCACTTTCGAGCCTTTGCGCATGCGCGCATGTGCACATTACGCTAACATAATCGTTACTCCTCCGGAATTAGCGAATCTAATCACGAGCTGTATGTTAGAGAAAACACATGATCATTTGACCGTGACATGACCGTGAGACATTTTGTTCTCAATTGTGACAGCAAACTTAATTGTGACTTCTAACTATATATTTCCATGATGCAACATCATTTAGTAACACTTGTCTATCTGTTAAAATAGATATTATATTTATTTAACCATATAATAATTACATAATAATGGAATTAATTATAAATCAGTGGTTGGTGGGCGGCTCTCGTCGAACAATTGCGTCTCAAAAGTATGTGACGTTATGGGAGTTTAACATACATTCTGCCGCCAAAGTTCGGAACAACTTTCATTGAGAATGAAATATTATGCAAAAACTCTTTTTATATTTCACACGCTGTAGGTCACATGGTCACCTAATAATATTTTATTCTATTTTATGCAAGATCTTCATTCATACATTCGCAAAACTCTATAATACCTTCAGCTATTGTCATTTCCCTTCAACTCGTGTGTGCTGCCTGGGTGGACTGCCCGGTGAAAGTATATTAAATGGCTGTGGCCGTTCAGGTATCTCTACTCTTTAATGCAGAACCTTAACACCCTCCAAAGCTTTCCTCTCTTCTTTCATGCGACTTTTCTAGTACGCTAGGCCAGAGATTTCCAGCCAGTGGCTCGGGAACCCCCGAGGATTGTAAAAAAAATATTATTATAAGACGAAAGGTTAAATTCAAAATGTAAAAAGGTAATGAAATATATGTTCACCAAAAAATTATATCAATTTAAGCTTAGCCAAGAATCAGTGAATATTCCTTGACATTAAATGTAAATATATTTCGTTTTCTGCTTATTGTAATGAATGTTCTAATTTATTACATTGATTTTGAAGGTTCGCATGTTAATTTTTTTATTCAGATTTCAAATATTATTTATGATGGTACAAAAATATACCCGTGCAGAAAGTGTGTATTTTCTGTACAGTTCATTTAAATGTATTTATGTAAAGATATTTAATCAAAATCATTATCCATATTTTACGCTTCGTCTTATTATTAAAGGAATAGTGACTAAGGTTTCCTCCATTTTGTAAGTTATTCTTATTTTCCAAAATAACGGGTCATGTACTTCTTAAACTAGAAGCAATTCAAAATTTTCAAAACTGCCTGCTTCAAAGTTAACTTACAAGCACTGTAATTATAGCAATTTCTCAGTTCACAAACAAAATCGTCATTCACATAATAACCGACTTCCGGATATCATTTTACATCCCAGTTTTATGTTTCATAGCGCAAACTTCTATTCATGAGGCTGTGCTTCTGACCTAATTACAAGGTGCTCTCTTATTACTTCAATAATCAACGGAACCCTTTGAAGCCTCGCATGCTGAAACTCTTTGTGATATGACATTTTCCTTGATAACTTTCCTCACACAAATCCACGAAATAATGTTTTACGATATAAAACATCCTTAACTTAACCAGTAGTACGTTTACACAGTCCAAAACCAATCATTATTATTGCTCCATTTGGTTCACGCGTATGATTATCTACTTTTTTCTCATAGCTATGCCAATATCGCATTCTCTTGCATATAGATTGCATTTTCTCATTTGTCTTAAAAATGCAGATATTACGATATACCGATTCAAATAACTATTTTCGTTGTACAGACTTCGCTGTACAGACCAAATATTAATTTTGTACCGTTCGAAATAATGTTTCATACTACGAAATTGATTCTCTGTAAAGCCTTCCATGTAGCCCTTTTCTTTTCACAGATGTGACTATTTATCTAGGGCATAATCTATAATAGTTGTAATACATAGTCATAAGAAATATAATAGTTATAAGAAAAACGTATCCCCATGCGTCGTCAAGTTCACAGAGGAAGAAAATTGCGTCCGGGAACTACTTCTACTATGAGACGACAGACGAAGCGAGTAGCAGCAATATCAAATATTCAACGCTAACTGATTGTAATTCTACAAGGGATGCTCTACATTTCTAACGAACATTGTTTAAGGTGCGGTGACGCTTTGCTATCAGTGTGAAATTTCACTACCGGGCTCCGGCATTCATCCCAAGCAATTAATGTATTACATCCTTGGGTCTGTCCAAAGCACAATTTCCCATGCATTTTATGCCACTAAACATTTCCAATTAATTAAAACGCGCCATTCTTATTTGAAATACGAAAAAGAATGCCCTGTTCCTCCACTCGTTCTTCACTTTCGTTAATAAATCTCACTATGTTGGAGGTGACTCATTTCGGTAAGGGATTATACTTTAATAAGGATAATATCATACTTTTATAACGCATCACAGTTTTATATTTCCTTGGTGGCAAATTTTTCTCTGATAAAGTCAGATTCGCCGAATTATGAGCAATAGAGGCATCACCTTCAGATAAAGCGCTCGTGTTCACACATGACGTTGCCAAGGAGCACAGAGCTCTGAAGAGCTGCTCCGTATTGCGAAAGCATGAACGGCCATCGGCCATGCGAAAGCATGAACACTCATCATGTACCTTCGTCATGAATCTTCGCCCTGAAGTTCTTGAAACGCAAGGTTATGAATATGCAGATAATAGGTACATGGCATTTCTAATTCCCACAGTACCTTTGTGCTAATTAATATTTTGGAAAGGCACTCATTGAGACAATGATTAACTGTTCGCTTATTAATGGATCAATGATTTATAATTGTTCCTTTTCTAAATTGCTTCCCAGATATTCCGTTTCAAAATGGACGATAATAATGTGTCAAAGGTGTATTATTCACAATTAATTGCACTTATAATTAAAAGTCTCAGGAGGATCACAAATTAGACGGATAATTTACAAGATTTATTGTATACGATTCGCTTTTGCTATTTTTTCTGTTTTTATTATACAACCTAGATGATTTTCATAATTAAACATAGAAATTCTGCATATGCTAAAATGTTTATAGCTGAGATAATGTATTCAAAATGCCAAATGAACGTCTTAAAATTTAACTATAATATTTACATAGTGTCGTGACGCAGGGCCTGTAAATTAAGTTTTTTTCTCTCATCGAGAGATTGATATTCAGCACGCACGATGCTTTAATTACGCACAATAAATTACTTTAAGAAATTAGTGTAGTAAAAGAAGAAACATTTTGAAGATAGTTTAACCCGATATACGAGCGATGATTTAACCCCTCCTCCTCCTGCCTGCAGTGGAATTGTGACTGCAACGCAATTCTCATAGTTTTATGAGACGTTTGAAAAACATTCGGCTACGCATGAGAGAAAAGTAGATAAGGAGAATTATCTCCCGTTCTTTCCGCCTGAAAAATTGATTCTCCTTCAGACGCGAAAGGGAGGGGAGAATCTTGTCTTGCCCGACACTAAACTTCTCAAGTTTCCATGGTTCTTACAGGTAACGGATTTGCGAAAACTTTAGGTCGCGGTGCCTGAAGGAAACTACCTCGCTGCATAAACAGAAGTGAGGAGAAAGTTCATAACGCCTTCTGTCGCATGTCCTGCCTTCATGGCCAATGTATATGAATCAAAAATTTTGTATTGTAAACGAATAATTTGCATCTAAATTATTTATTATGGGGAAATTCGATTCACGAATGATTTTGATAACGAGTACGCTTCTAAAATGGATGATGCTCTCAATTCAAAGTTCAACTGTACCTCAAGGAAAGACATTTCTTGTGATCTTTTCTCGATTAGAGAAATTCCTCCAGAAGAGCAACATTTTAAAGAAGCTTTCAGATAGGTGAACTCAAAGAACAAAGAGAAATAAGGAATCAGATAGTAGACAAAAAAACCGCATTGGTTCTGCAATTCTTTCATTCACGCCGCCTGTTATTCTTTCATTATCTACTTAATTATTTAAAAAATCGAAAACCATAAATTAGTTTAAGCTACATCCAAAGTGCAAGATCCCATGTTACACTGTGGATCACCGCACAGATCACACAAGATCACCGCACTTTACTATTTTCATATTGACATTAAGGCACCTTCAGTATTTCTGAGTAAAAGCATTTAAATGAATCAAATCTGAGATAAAAGTGAAATTGTTCACAAACACATGCAACAAAAATGATACAACTAGCGTGATTTATTTCTTTAGAAAAAATACACTATGACGATCCACAAATATTACTCTAAAAAGCTGCCATAAAAATGTTACTTCAAAATCATATTTTTACAAAATCATTACAAAACTTTTTCTGAGGAAACGATGCACACGCTAGCTTGCCCTTGATAGTATTGGCCGTGGCCCCGGAGGATCAGTGCCCTAGGTCACCACCTCCTTGCCTTCGCGAGCACTCACCTGCACAGATGTTTTTCATGGTCACGGCGACGGCGCGCAGATCGACTGCCCCCTTACCTTTAGGAGCACTCAATCGCCGCAGCTGTTCTCCTTGACTCTTGGGAACTTTGCGCGCAATAAAGCAGAAAAGAAGCCGTGCTTTGCCTATTAATTAGTGATGCTTCTAACTAACGCGCAGCAGTCCGACGTTGGCGCAACACACGCGGCAATATTAGATCGCCGACTTCTGCATATGGTAGTATGCACTCCACACGGTAATTGAGGTATTCCCTCAGCGTCCGCCGAGTAGGCCTCCTACACGCAGTAAGTAAAGGCCGTGCTCTTGGACCATTAATTAGCTGTGCACTACTCCTGCCGCAGCTCGTGCCGCCGTGGGCTCCTGACGCGCTGATATCGAGGTTCCGTGCTCTGGCTATAATTAGTGCTTCACCCGCCGCAGCCATCCTGTAACAGATAGAGATTCCCTAGGGGCTGCAGTTAAGTAGGAGAGTCAACGTGCTCGTGCCTATTTTTGGTAAATTAGATCAGCAATCACGCCGCCGGGAAACTCTAGTCTCTCGACGTGACTGCTGCGGGCTAGACCTACAAAGAGGCCGTTGTCCTGCCTATTATTTAGTGGCACTCACACCGCACGGCGTACCGCCGCGGGAGCTCCATGCGCAGGCCGGCGCGCAGCGTAGGACGGCGCGGGCAGTGCTGACGAGACCTAACTGCTGCGCAACCCCTGCCGGTTGCTGGTACAAGCTGCAGCACGTAGGCGGCGCCGGCTCCAGCCCCGCACGTGAACCTCGGGCGAGCGCATTGGCCTGCAGACTGTTTGGCGACGAAGGCGCTGCCCGCTGTCGGGCATGCGCTGAGATAGCTCCAGTCGCCAAACACAATACTCGAAGCGTGAAGCGCTGCGGCGGCGAAGCGTCATAGCCTGCGCGCGCACAGGCCATCTGCAAGCGCGCTCCACGTGCGGTTGCGCAGCGCGCAGGCTCCGCGCGGCCCTCGGGCCGGCCGCGGGCCACCACGTGGAAGACGCATGGGCTGCGGCCTGGGCGCCCATGCGCGTTGGGCGGCCCCAGCCACGCAGGGTGCCGTTAGTCGCGCTCGGCGCGCTGCGTGGTAGGCGGCGAGGGAGCGGCCGGCCGCCGCCGCCGGACGCCACGGCCCAGGCTCACCATTACTCGACGCTCGGCCGGCCACGCGCGGAGCTGGCTTGAAAGGACAGCGGGAAGACGCGGCGGCGGGTTGGCGTCGCACAGCTCCGCAGACACCTCGGCGTCCTCCAGGCGCGGGCCAGTAACACGCGTGCTGAGGTGCGGGGCGCACAAACGGCGCGTCTGAAACACAATAACACATTTTGGCTGACGACTGTGAGTTCACACAAGCAAAGACTTAAAACATTCATCATAACTTGAACAAGTAACATGATCTCCTGTACACAATTCGTACCTGTTTGTAGAATTTCTAGAAGAAATCTATCAAGTACGTTAATGAGAACCAAACAATCTGACAAAATTAAAAAAAAATTAAATTCGAACAATAAATTCTAAAATTTATAAACAATTAATTGTTTCAATTTTCAATTACCAATGTAAAATATTTGTCATATTCTACATACAAGACGATACCACTAGGGAGTTAGGAAACAAAATAGGTATGGTGTTAAGGGAATTAACTCTGAAAGCAGATATGCTGCTACCATGCAGAAACTGTAGTAAATTAAGGTTTTTGATGGATTAAGGAATGTGCGATAGAGTCTGGAATAGGTAAATTTTCACCTTGGGAGTAGTTCTTTTTAATGATGAACGAGTTTTCTATTTAAAAACGAGTTTTGATTTGCTAGCCAAACACGATAATTCGAAACGTAATGAAGTACAATCGTGACTGGCCGATGCTAGACCAAAACGCACATGCAACAAGACATGCGATGAAGGTGAATGAGCCAGCTGCAACAGTCTGGACTGTGAGCAAATATAAATCACTTACATGGGACTCCAGTAACACCCACCGGTCGTACAAATTAATCGATGGAACTACCTACTGCGCACAAAATGTATGAGGCTGGGATTTTTTATAAATGACTTCACAAATGCGGCGCAATGTCGCAATGAACAGATCAGCCATAACTCGGGTAAACCGCTACTTATAACCAAGAATGACCTCAGGGCGTAATACCAACGGCCAGTGAATTACGCCCTACGGAAGGTCGCAGAATGGCGACCGAAGCGTCGGCATCTTTCCCATGGACGCAGCATCACCTGGACAGCAATTACATAATTTTTATTCTACCAGACTTACCACAGGTGAAGGTAAATCTTGAAATTGTAAAGTCCATATGGCCGAGATCGTTAAGGCAGTAGTGTCGTAGCGACCGAAGGATCGCGGGTTCGTGTCCCGCCTCGGGCATGGTTGTATTGCGATCATCCTTTTACCTCCTCATGTCATCTTCACAGTTACCCTTCCGTTAAATGCAATAGTGGTCGGTAATGACCTAGATGTTGACACGACCTTAAATAACAAAAAAAAAGTCTTGCCAAGTCCAAATGCTTTTCAGTTATGCGTCTTGCGTCAGAATACATTTGCCAATTTGAAAATAAGCCTAACGTTAATTTCTCCCCAAACCCAAGGTACGTTATTCTTCGTTATACAAGTAAATCACCCTTGGTATTAAAACTGTGAGATTTCGGCCAGTGATTCCGGAAGGTTGAACACAGAGGAAGGCCACAATTTGTCATCTACTATTTGTCAACTAAAAAGAATTTCAATGCTCAGTTTCTTAATAATGTCAAATTTATTACGTTTTTTTATTTTTCAAAAGTATATCGAAAAGATTCAGAGAGAAAACTGTTGTAAAATACGATACTTATACCTGAACTCTTGGCAAGAAATCCCACTGTGGATATAGTTATATCAAATAACGACGTTCTTGAGGAGAGACAATTCTATGATACTAAATAAACTTCTGCAGAAATTAATAGTAATTGGTCAAAATGTTTAATGATTGCTACATTCCAATCTTTTATTTATTGTTTATTTATTTGATTATTCATTGTTCTCATATATATACGATAATGGGTTTTGTTTCGATTGAGAGACTTCATATGATAAATGAAGACTTTTGTGATATTTGAACGGTTTAGTTAAGCCGCGCTGGTTTTTACTGGTTGTTACTTTTACAATGAAAAAGACTCGTGTTTTGCATTTTAGGAGATGTGTGAAAAGTACATTTAAAAACCAACGTTAGTTGAATTGCTTGTAAATGTCTTGAGTTATTTGTGAGTGATTCGTCTGTCAGCAACCTTCAACAAATTTACTTTTTCCGGGTCTTCAAATGAATACTTCTTGTTTCGTTGCAGCTACATTCCATATATAACTTTACGAAGATTAGAAATGTATAGTATAAACCAAAATAATATAAACTACAATTAATTATGTGATTCCGATAGCATAGTTTATTTTATATTGATGTTCATATTTAATGAATGCTCATCGAACAATTGCTGTTTCCTGCAAAAAAAGACAAAAAAAGGTGAAAGCAGCCTCCAAACATTTAATGTTCAGAAATGATTCTCAATGACAGCCACTGTCAGGAACTTCTCAACTACATTTTCCTCATTAAACAAAACTGCCATAACTCAGCTGTTACACAAAGCAAAAAAGTTGTAGAGATGTTTCATTTACACAAAACGCAATCATAGCGCCGTAGGAGAACTTAAATGAGGAATTTGGGTTGCTTCTCTGGAGCCCCAATTTTGCGGGCAATTTCGCCGAGACTCATCTCCGTCCAGTGTGTGGTGCGTAGTTGCTCAAAAGCTCGCGGAAAGCGTTGTAGTGCGAGAGAGACGAATTGCAGAACATAATTTATGAGTGCGTGGCGCAGTGCGACAGCTGTCGCCTGTCCGCTTCGCTGCTCCGCTGCCCTCCACTGCCCCGCGCGCTCTGCCGCCGTCGCCGCCGCCGGTTACAGCACTTTTGCCGCCGCTGCCGAATGAGCTGTCCGCGCGCTGGCCGCCCCGCTCGCCTGCTTGAAGCCCGAATTCCTCCACTCGCCCGAAATCTCGCCCTTCCGCTCGCTCGCTGCTGGACCAGCCCCATCGCGCTTGCCTTACCGATCACCAGGTCACCAACGTGCTAGCCTCATCGCTTACTCAGCCTCCCATTTCACCTCCCTCTCTGCTCTCTTTCTCTCGCTCTCCCTCTCTCTGTCTCTTTCTGTCTCTCTCTCTCTCTCTCTCTCTCTCTCTCTGCCAAACACACACATGTCCATTCACATATTCCTGCTCGGGACCTACCAGTTTTCCGTACTCCTTGCCTAACTGCCTTCTCATTCTCCTGTCCGGCAGTTTGGTAGACCACTCGACTGACTAGCTCGCTTGATTGCTCTCTCAGGGATCCACTCACACTCCGTTTTCCTTCTCTCTTTCGCACTCGCACACACAAATGCTCCTTTACCTTCATGTTCATTCACTTTATCGTTTACTCGCTTAGTCGACGACTAACCTCCTATTCCCCCTTGTTCTGTCCCTCCATAAAGGGGGAAGCACAAGCAAACATAGACCCTTGCCCCATCCCCTTTCCCTCCAGTTGGATCTCTTTTGCCATATCGCTCGTGCCTGCGTCCAGAGCTCCATTGATCGTCCTTCCCACTCACGTTCTCATCCGCCCGCCCTTCATACGTAGAGTCAACTTGCTTTCTTATTCGGTCAATCATTGGGTCACTCGTGATTTGTCAAGTACGCTAGAGCATCTAATCTCTTACTCATCTGTTTGAACGCACTTTTGCCCCCTACTGCTTTTTGTTGGTTCATCCATTCTTTCGTCCACTCATTCATCGGTCAACAACCCGCCCGCTTATCCAACCCTTTCTCAATCAGTTCCACCAACCATCTCCTCTCCCTCCCACTCGTGGTGTGGCCGCCACGCATCTCACGCCCTTTCTCCTCTTTTCCAGTGAACGTCATCGCCCACATTTCCCATTCCCGTAGCATTGTTCCGAGCGCCAACCGCTCACCGCCACCGCCACCCGGGTTCCCGCAATCGCGCGCGCTCACCTCCACCCCCCGCAGCCGTCCAGGTCGCGCCGCGCGGCTGCGCGCTGCTCGCTCTTCGGGCCTCGCCCCGGCGCGGCGCCGCTCTCGCTGCCGACGCGGTTATCTCGGCTCACATTATTCGCGCTTCAGTACCTCGCCCGGTGCCATGGCCGCTCGCTGCCGCCACGCCAATCGCCTCTGGTTGAGTAGTCACTGATTGCCCCCTTCAGCCCGGCAAGGCCACCGCCACCAACATGACCGCTGACTCTTACACCCAATTATTCTCTCCATTGAACAATGCCGCGCCATTATGTACTTATCACGGCCCTCTTTCATCATTCTCGCAGCTTCCGTCTCTACCGCGTCCCACGCCAACATTCCACCCGCCCCCCTCGCATCCCGGCGCTGCCGTCGCCGTCGCC